CCAAAAAATTGTGTATTCTGGTGAATTTGGTTCTTGCCACTCGAGCATAATTCAGATTAGGTACTTTAAATTTCTGGTGTCGTTTCGTCAGAAGAGTTCACCTCTTAACTAGGGCCCAATCAGAAGTGGACATCAAACATCGTCAACCTATTGGCTTCTAGATCCCTCCATATTTCCTTCGTAGAGGGGCTTATGATGAGGCCATATCTTCTTCTTCTTTGTGGTTAAGTCTCGCGAATAATCAATTATTTTCATTAAAATTCACAATCTCACCGTCTAAATGCGCTAGATAAATCAAACGTCAATACTTCATACCTTTCACAATATCCACACCATAAAATAAATATTCAACTAAGATACAACCTAAAATTACCAAAAACTGTTGAAATTACTCTCCACATGATTAATCCAGATGATAATATTAATGCAAAATGACAGAATAAAAACTTTTTTTAAGCCTGTAATAATTTGTAAATGATATTTTTGTGCATGCGCCAAAAGAGACATTAAAATATTATAAACGAAATTGAAGGACATTCTTGATACATTTTTTTCCGAAAAATGAACGCAAATAATTAATTGCATGCAAACATTATTTTAAGCAAAATTTACCATACATTCAGGACACTTTTTATTAATATAAAACTTTACTCGTTCTAACTTCATGACCCGACCAATATAATTATGATCTTATAACGTTCAACTGCTCAAAGTTGGAAGCACAAAAAGAGGAAATATCCATACAGATAACCAGTCAATTTTATACCATAGCCTAAATCATAATTTGTATGAATACTCGGTATCATAAGGCTGGGGTAAAACGAAATAAATTCGCTCAGAACAAGTAAATGACTTAAATATTCCAATCAAAATTTAGAAACTAATTTTTTGAATTAACGCCACAAAATAACGAACTATAAAATGTAGTCAGCAGAGGGCACATCTTGATGAAGGTCCCCCGTGAAGGGAATATTGGACATCCTCAAACCGTCTGCTCCCTGGACTTATCCCAGCACAAAAGCATCTCACATGCCACCTTTTCTCTTGATGTGACACTTTTAGGAGTGAAAAACTTCATCATGGCCAACATGACGGGTCGTTTTCTTCCTGGCGACGTAGAGAGCTTCGTACTTCGGGCACCAAACGGCACCCAACTTGTCCAACTGAAGGTGCAACGAACAGAGGGCTCCCAGATCTACGTGAGCCGGCATCCAATGGACCCGATTCATGGGCATTACTACCTGCAGGTGATAAGCACTTTGGCCAAGTGTACATATTCTTGGCACCTCTCCCTCCCCATCCGCATACAGCCTTCAGCACAGCCATGTCTTTCACTGTAGATAAATTTCATACGCACACACAAATGCCTAACTCAAGCAGATCGCTGACTCAAGTGACATCTTCCCTGAACCCCAAAGTTTAGGGCTGATTCTGTTTTCGGGTCAGGAGCGTGATATTTGCGTCTCAACGCTTCACATGTTTTCTTTACCTCACATCTTCTTGTCGTTATCACAGCAAACTTGACGCCTTTTCAGCATGTCATTCATAGGACTCGCATCGACTCTCATCTCGGTTTGAGCTATCCTTGGCATCCAAGCAGCAACCGACGGTGCATTTATCAAAGTCAAAAAATGGGCTCAATTATGATGGTGGTATTCGTTATATTTATTTTTTCGATTAAAAGTAGGCTTTCGAGGCTACCAATAAACTCAAATAAGTGATTTCAAGCAAACATTATTTCAAGAAAAATTCACCTTACCTTCCGGACACTTTTCATCAATATAAAAATTTACCAGTTTTAAAAGTTTTATTATATTCCTTCCAATATAATTAGGATCTCATAAGGTTCAACTACTCAAAGTTGGAAGTAAAAAAAGGGGAAATATCCATACCACAGCCTAAATCATAATTTGTATGAATACTTGGTATCACAAGGCTGGGGAAACAAGAAAAAATCGCTCAAAACAAATCTCTTCAAGGTACCGTCAAGTAAATGACTTAATTATTTCAATCAAAACATAACACTTGACGCCTATCCAACATGTCAATCATAGGACCTGCCTCGGCTCTCATCTCGATTCGGGCTATCTTCGGCATCCATGCAGAAATCGACAGTTCATTTTTTAAAGTAAAAAAATATGCTAAATTATCATGGTGGTATTCGTTAGATTTATTTTTTCATTCAAAAAGCGCCTTCTAGACTACCAGAAAATCATATAATGAGATGTATTCACCTTATTTCTTTTTAGGTGATAAGAGTACTGGTAGTTGAATTTTCCCACAATGCGTTACTTTACCAAAAGTTCTTCTCATCATTGAAGGTAAAAAAAATCGGTGTGAACTTCAATGAAAACGTAAGTTTTATTCATATCATTGTGGGAAAATTCATCTACCAGTCTCATTATAACTTCAAACAAAATGGGGTGAATACAACTGATTATATTTAGACCTAATCTAAAAGGCCTATAGTTGTCTATAAGAAGAAAATTATTTTCTTCAAGTAATAAAAAACAGTGCATGCTATTTACTATTGGCCTTTCAGATTATGTCTAAATATAATCAGTTGAATTCACCCTAATATATATATTTGGTATACTCAAATTTTTCCCTTTTCATTCATAGGCTTAGTTTGAAGAA